TGTGAATGGCATACATAATCATGACATAAACTACATATTTTATTCCAAATTAAAACATGACTGTATTTAGTGGAAGAGGAGATGGCAGCTGTACATGGGGAAGGTTAGGAAGAAAGGAGGTGTTACCTCCCACTCCACCGTGGGAAGTAAAATTCTTATAGTGACAAAACATTAATAGATCATACATGTATAGAATTTAGAGGTAAGAGCAGTAGATAAAAAAGAATCAATACAAACAGGTGTTTGCCTCAGAGAGAAAATGGCAGAAGGGGTAAGGAACTGCCCTTTTTCAATATAACTTATAAACCTAGTCAACTCTCTCTCAACAAATGACTGGCAATCAACAAAATTTTTAATATCTCAGTGGAGATATTATAGAGCATATATTCCTTACCCAGTTTTTGCCTTGGCCCTCTCTATAGCACTAAAGCTTAACAAGCAAATTAAAAATAAGTTTCCCTTTTTCCCTTAATACATATCATTAAGTAATAATGTCTAATGAATGTTTATAAATTTTTAAATAGACTGAAAGAGCAAAACAAATATTATGAGAGCTACTCAAAACTTCAGGTTCACCAAGTAAGTTTATCAAATAGTTATTACAATGTATCAACGACATGCATAAGCTCCATCTACAAAGTAGCTGCTGTTTCAAGATCTTGGTTCCCACATGATGGTACCAGAGAAAAACTTAACACAAGTATTTTTTACCCATAGCTTCAAACTACATATATCACACTGAATAAAAATTCAGTATATTTTCTTGAATATACAATGGGAGGACAGTGAAGTGTCAAAGCATGCTAAAAGCACAAGTCTATGAAAGTAAGCTACGGGAGTTATAAGAGGTCTATTTACGTTTTATTCAGTGGCCATATCACATAACTATATGACATTTATAATAGCTACAAATTATATACTTACGTTCTGAACACATAATGTACATGAACTATAAAAATAATGTGGTAAAGGATGTAAAATGGCCTAATCCTGTATTAACTGAAGTACACAGCTCAACTATACTGAGATCCTACATGGGTGGAGAGACCCTCCGTCTCCACTGTATTATCTGACTCAGTATCATTTTAGCCACCAGATGACAAGACTCCAATAACTTTTAACATATGGCCCAAAAGCATAATTCTAGCTCCTCCAAAGTGAAGCTGATAAACGTAAAAGTCCCTTTTCCCAAATGTAAAATGAATAAACTGCTGCTCAAATGAGATTACTTACTATTTAAGCCATTTAGCTGATTATTAAGGCATTCTTTTTTGTCATTAGAGTTAATCATCTTCTCAAATATAGCACTCAATGCACAAACACATGAGGGTCAACATTTTTATTCCTGGACCAAAACCAAGTTTTAGAAGCATTAAGCAATTTCTACAATATTTTTTTAAAAACCTATAATGATGTTAACAGAAGTCTAAAATATTCCAGTCAGCCACTTGGAACCACATATAGCAGGTACTGAATTTCCCCAACAACAACAGGGTTCTTTAAAAGTCTCATTCCATTTGGACACATCCCCAACAAAATAAAGGTGGCAGTCACAGCCTTTGACCCTCACAATGCTAGATCTTAGGTAACTGTCTTGAAAACTTTTAAGTTTTCAAGTTTACCTACCTAAGTTTCAGCTTCTTTCACTACAGGAAAGTTTTTGAAGAACTACTGACCTAGTTCTCCAGGCATCGTGTTACAATAATGGTTGTGAAGCATGTGCATCCATTTCACAAGGAATACCCCCTCCACTTGCTTCAGAATTTTTTGGAAAAATTTTAGGTAACACGAGATGGCAGAGACCCCCATTCCTATTCACAGAGGCCCAGCTCTTCTGTAGTTTTTTACATGTCTTTAAAAAATATTTGTTAGTAGAAAGAACACATTAAACACATGATGGGAGTCTGGAAGAAAAGGTTCTAACCCCAGTTCTGGCTTAACTGCCTCTTGGACCTTACCTTAAGCACCTTCTGTTACTAAGGATCCCCCAGGCCACTCCAACATTTAACAATTTGCCAAGACAACTCACAGTACTCACCATATAGTCATACTCACAGCTATGATTATCAGAGAACAATCATAGTAAGAATACAAAGAAAAACCAAGCAAAGGAAAAAGGTGTGTTGGATGAAGATCAGAAGCACCAGGCACTAACTTCCTAAAGCCTCCATTGGTGAAGTGACACAGGAGGTAGTTAATTCCTCCAGTGAAGAGTTGTGACAACATAAGAAATGCTGTCCACTCACTAGAGTCTCAGTGCTTGGGGTTTTTACCAGAGCTAGTCACATTAGACACCTTTTGCCTCGCACTTACCAAAATGTCAGACTTCCAGAAGGAAAGCATGTATTCAGTCTAACACCTACAGTTACGGTGCAGTGAGCCACTCTTAATCTCACTTTTTAAAATTCTCATCCAAGGACATGCTTACTGATTTTAGAGAGAGGGGAAAGGAGAGAGAGAGGGAGAAAAAACACTGATGATGTGAAAGAGAAACATGTATTGGTTGCCTCTGGTATGTTCCCTGCCCACATAAGGGACTAAACCCACAACCTAGGCATGTGCCTTGACCAGGAAACGAACCTGCAACCTTCCAGTTTTTACGACAATGCTCCAACTGAGCCACACTGGCCAGGGCTCTTATCTCAGGCTTTAGGAGTAATGGAAACTCTCCCAAAATCAAAGTTTCCAGCACCATCCTAGGGCCAATTCTACAAGCAGGCATTTCTAGAAACGGAAGTTTCAGGCCTGTTTGTTGACTTTTTTTCTGCACCCAGCTCTCTAGATGTCGATCACCATGTCATTTCCCCAGACCTATTAGCTCACTACAGCAACCTTTGAACATTACCCAATGCCTAAGATGGATGGTGTGTTCATGGCCTAAGGCCACCATGAGCTAAACAGCTCGGTGAAGGTGACGCCATCCTTGGAGCAGGAAAGAATCTCACTGCCTAAGGCCTATTTTCCCAACAATGATCACAACACCATCAAACAGCCCCCTTCCTCCAGCCTCTGATCTTCCTGTTCATCTGTGTCCTGCAATTTTGCCCAAGTGGCTATTTAACAGTTTTGTCTAAGTTTGTCTCTCACCCAAGTGTTCTCACCATCCATTCAAAATCCAGAAGGCTGAGGTTGATAAAACATGGGCATAAAAACTCTCTTCTCATAGATTACCCTTGGTAAAGCACATGAAAGTAGTTTTATTCCCATCTCATTATCTTATACACAGCACAGAGGCCCTGGTGATAGTGACATTGGGTCAGATACGACTATATAGGAAGTAGAGCCCCACTCAGCTGTTCATGGAACCCCACGGTTCCCTGCTGGGAACTGACCTACCTGGTTTCAGGAGCTGAAACCGCCCCCCCCCATGGCTAAGGTGAGTGAGTGACCTTCGGACCATAAGCTACTAAGCAGACAAAGCTTATCTTCCTGGCAGAAGTGCCGCTTCTGCTCCTTTTTTCTTAACTGGCCCCCAATGCTTGATCAGTTAGCGAGTAATGGGTAATATTCCCCAAGGGGGTAACAACCTAAGACAGGCATGATCACGTGGAGGCCCCAGGGAAGGACTTGGGGGCTATGGAGAAGGGGGGGGGGGGGCTGATGGACCTTTCCCCTCAGTTTTGACAAAGCCTGAGTCCTTATTCTGTCTGTGAGAAGTCCCCTAAGTTCTTGGCTATACCTGACTTCAGCCTGAAAACAATGAAAAAGGGTGATACAGCCCTGTGCTGGAAAGGGCAGGTTGCCTGGGTGATCCGGCCTGATAAAGGATATGTAAAATCCTATGAAGCCTGCTCTGCTAAGAATGCTCTTAATTAAATGATAAAGGTTTGGGAAACTTTGTTTCCCAAAGTTTATAGCCTTTTAGCTAACAGACCCTTACTCAGAAGAAGCCCTAATAATTCTTTGTATGCCATCTACTGTTTGATCCTTGATCCCACTGCCTGACAATGATTAATAAGTTGTATGTGAATTCCTACGCAAAAATAAAAACCAATAAAAACCTGTCTAGGCAAGAGTGTGCACACTCTCCCCTCAAGGGAGTAGCCTGCCCCTTTTCCTCCACAGGACTTGGTAGTCCATGTGAATTTGTCTCAAATCCCATCCCTAACTCCATGTATACTGCAGGCCAGTGCACTCATCACCCTACCTTAGGGTGAGGGGACCACCTCTGTCACATTTCATCAAGTAAAATATATGACTCCTCTATATTTCAATATTTCAGCCCTTATCTAGATGCTCCATGAACTCTTGTGAAACAGGACAAAGAATATTACAAGGTGAATCAGAGAACAGGGCTGCAACCTTATCTCTGACTCTTACTAGCTGTGTGATCTCTTAAGTCACGTTACGCCTCTGGGCCCCTGCTGTTTCCATGGCCACAGTGGGAGGCTCTGACACACCACTCTGTGTGTCCAGTCCATGCCTAACTTCTCAGGGTTTTCACACTGCCTAAAGGAATGGGGTGGGGCAAAAGATTTAGAATTCATTTGGTGTAAGATTTCTGCATAATAGCGCAAATTATAAATATCCAACTGTTCATTAGTTTAAAAGTCTAAAACTGAGACATCTGTGTATTCAAGTTGTCTTGATTCTGATAAGATGCTGATCCCCTTGCCCTGGATTCTACATGGTGAGGCTGACATTTCTGAACAGAAAACTACCATTTAAAAGATGGTTTCCAAACAAAACTCATTCTAGAAAGGCTCCATTCATTCAAACATATTCTGAGCACATACTATAACTAGGTGCAATGTGTATACAAGATTTAGAACCAATGAACCAAAAGAATGCTGAACTCTGAAAATCAATCAATTTTAAATATGCTTCTAAAATCAGGACATAGCACGGGACTTGGCTAGATGTCTGACCCATGATCTGGACAAGATCTCCAACCACCAACCCACTAACCATACATTCTTTGAGTCAAATTACCACAACCAAGTATGTAAGGCAAACCAAAATGTTAATTGAAAAAGAAAAGAAAAAAAGTCTGAACTCACCTGGACTGTGGCAATCCTTTTTTACCCAGATCTGCCCTCACACGTTCTCCTACGTGTCTGTAGATTTCCACTAAGCTGTTTATTGCTGCATCTCGAACCTGGATGTAAAAGAGGAGATCTTACAGCTACTCTGTGTCATCCCACAAAACTTCCTGCTGGGGCACAATAGGCTATATAGACTATACAACACCCCAAGTTTATCACCAATTTACCAATGCAACTATGAATACAATCCTTTCTAGACATTTGACTAGATGAAGCCATGTTTAAAAGTTTTGACTCTGTAGGTACAATTCCAAGGAGTAAAAAAAATTTAGGTCCCATCCCTATATTCTAGTCCATATCCCTTTGTTTTTTTCATTCTTTAAGATGATGTCAGTAAACTAGAATTTTCAGGGCATCTTTCCAAATTAGAAAGCACTACAAATAAATGATTACACTAAAAATAAAACACCATGTAATATATTCTGGATTTAGGTCAAACACTTAGTGAACAAGAAAATATGGGTAGTATACAGAGCTCTGTATTAAAGCTGATAAAGATATTAAAAATTAAAAGTGGGTAAAAAAGAGTTCATAGTCCTAAAAGGGAAGTAGAAAAAAGTCCATAAATTCTACATTTAACACAGAACAAGATGTAATAAAAACAATTTTATAAAAATGTACAAAGGGTTTGTACAGTTTAAGGAATAAAGCACACCACAGTATACCAAGAAACATTTTATGGAAGAGGAAGGAACCACTTAAAATGTGCTTACAAGGACTACAATTTTACCAAGTAAAGATGAAATGAGACGGGTTTCAAACAAGGCACAGTCTGTAGGCATGAAAGCAGGTGTGAAGAGCATATGCTTCAGAAAGAGCAAGTAAGCAGCCTGGTGAAACACAAATGTGAACTAAGGAAGCAGCAATACATAAGGCTCAAGAAACAAAATGGAATTAAAAAAAAAAACTTGGGGAAATTTGAATATGGACTGCACATCACACATTGTCATTATAGCAACATTAAATTTCTTGAATGAGAAAATTTGTTATATAAGAAAAGTACCCTTGTTTTTAGGAGATATACACTGAAACATCTGGAGAGTAAAAATATCATGTCTGTAAGATACTTTCAAATGGTTCAGAAAGAAAGTGTATTTCTGCCTACACTCAAACTCACCACAGAAAGGAACCCTGACATTTTAGGCCATTAGGATGGTACAAGAGAAGAGCCCCATATGTTAAACATTACCTGCCAGGCCAGAGTTGAATGCTTTACAAAGTCTGAAGTCTTCAAATCTATGACCTTCCTCACAGGGCCACCACAGATTGTGACACACAGGAGGGCATGCAGGCTAGAGAGGCTAGCCACCTGTGGAGCCCACAGCAGATAAATAACAGAATGGGGAGCAGACTTCCACCTCTGAATGAAGATGCCCACATCCTTTTCACTTTAGAACTGGGTATCAGTTAGAAAGCCTAAAACTCAAGGAAGGGCTTCACCTCTAGGGAAAGGGAAGGCACCTGTAAATTGGTGGGAAGCAAAATCTACCCTGTCCTCTGAGAACAGCAGCACAGCCCCACAGCCAGCCTGCCTTGCAGAACAGGTGCCACAGACCTGCCCAGACTCAACAGAGGTCAGGTGCACTGCAATGCCACCTGAGGCCTGCAGCCCCACCTCCCCATTTCTCAGGTATCGGTCAGGCCGTCAACAGAGACTTTCCTTCTCCCCTACGGAGTATCATCCAGCTGCAGAGAGCACTGAGATCAACAGTACTCAGACATTTTAAGATGTTTTTAGGCTTTGAAGATGTGTCAAAATCACCTAGAAAAGGGACTTCCTTAAGTGAAACAACTAATCAATGTTTCTCTCTCCCCACCCTTTCCTCTCCCTCTTTAAAAAAAATCAATTAAATTTTTTTTAAAAAGAAAAGGGACTTCCTATGTGTATGATGTCTTTTTGGATGGCAAGCTGCCTTTGTTAGAACCACTGCCACATCCTCCTTGTCAACAAACACAGGCCTTTTCCTGCAATCTCCACTAAAGAAAGGAAACCCTGTTCTCAGATCAGGAAGTAACCATCACATAATCCTAGTTCATTCCCAGCTATTGGGTAACACAAAGGCAAGGGATGTCATTCTCAATAATAAAACATGGTGGTTGGGGAGGGGGGTCTACAGGAAACTTCAAAAAAAAATGCTTCTTTGCCCTTACAAAGAAATGCAGGAAGCTTAAAGGAAACATGAGACATTGAGGAAAAAGCGGACACTGACTGGGTTTGATAAGAATTACTCATTCTTGATGAACAGGGGGAATAATAGTGTTAAAGTTATGTTTTTGAAGAAACAGAGTCCTCATCTTTCAGAGTATTTAAGAATTAAATGAAAGCCCTGGCTGGTGTAGCTCAGTGGATTGAGCACGGGCCTGTGAACCAGAGTATCACGGTTCGATTCCCAGTCAGGGCACATGCCTGGGTTGCAGGCAGGTTCCCTGCAGGCCAGTTCCCTGCAGGGGATGCACTAGAGGCAACCATACATTGATGTTTCTCTCCCTCTCTCCTTCCCATCTAAAGATAAATAAATAAAATCTTAAAAAAAATTATTAAAAAAAAGAATTAAATGAAATGATATCTAAGATTTGCTTCAAAATATTGGAATAGGGGAGGAAAACCAGATGGAACTAAACCAGCCTTGTCTTACTGGTTGTTGAAGTTCAGTGACAGACACAAGGTTATGCACTGCCATTCTTTCCACTTCTATGTAAGTCTGAACCTTTCAACATAGAAAACTAAAAGAAAAGAACACGGGAAGCACCAGGCTTTTGTCTACTAGGCCTGCCAAACATGCATGCCTCTGGGCTGTCCCTGGGCTGTGCCCCTGGGGAAAGCTGCAAGGGACAAAGCTCAAGGACTAAAATGGCCAAGACCCTAAGTTTCTTGGTAAATCACTGTTCCACTAACAAACCCTATAGTCCCCTTCCTCTTTATACAGGGTGATAACATTCTCCCCCTGCTCTAGCATTTTTGAGTTGGGATTTCATTTACTTGGGGCCAAAAGCATCCTAAGCACACATTCCTTATATCTATCTGTGGGCCACTCTGAGAAGCTTCTGAGGGCCTTCCCTGGCTCTGAGTCACTCTGCACTCAGAACAATATACAAACGAACTGGCATCCTCTAAGGCAGGAGTGTCTGCAGAACTCCCATTCAGTGTTAGCCGCCTTCTGCAGAGCCAGGGGCAAACTCCCCATACTAGAGCTGAAGACTGACTACAACATCAACTACCACAGTGCAAGAGCAGCATTGGTAAGAAACAACTGTCCACTCTGGTCTGAGACACAAACAGCTAAGAAGGGCAAGACACTCAAATAGCTGTGGGGTGTCAAATCAATCTTAAAACTGCTGGAATGCAGTCCTGAAACAATAATGAGCAAGTTATAGTCCTGACTCTTAAGGGACAGAGACTAGCAGGAAAAACTAATGAGAAGCACTGGGAAGTTTCCTGGAGGGGGTGGGGGGGAGGGTCCTGGCAGATGTGGACTGTGCATGTTTGTGCCTGCATACATATATGTGCAGATAAAACACAATTATCTTCAGACTACTCAGTCTAGAATACTCTGGCTGTATCTGTCTCCTACGGACTACTGACAGCTGCCCACACAGCACCAACCTCATTTTACCCTCAGTGTTCATCTCTCACAGGCCCAGCATGACTACTCATATCACCTTTGTGGCCAAAGTAAGCAACTGCATTGGGAACAAATAAATGTGACTAGCCAGGCTGGCTTTTCTGTTCCACTAAAGGGTATCATGTGGCAGCAGCGATATCCTCCAAGTGTGACCTCTATAAAGAACTTTTTGGCCCTGGCTGGTGTAGCTCAGTGGATTGAGCACAGGCCTGTGAACCAGACAATCACGGTTCAATTCCCAGTCAGGGCACATGCCTGGGTTGCAGACCAGTTCCCAGCAGGGGATGCATGAAAGGCAACCATACATTGATGTTTCTCTCCCTCTCTCCTTCCCCTCCCCTCTAAAGATAAATAAATATTAAAAAAAAAAAGAACTTTTTTCCCATAGAAAACAAAAATGGACGGTATAACACCAAAAAGGGGAGAGGGGCAATTTAGAGTTTTTAAATTATTTTATTTTCTAAAAAGGATTTTTATTTTTTAGAGAGAGGGGAAGGGAGGAAGAAAAGAGAGGAAGAGAAACACCAATGTGTGAGAGAAACATCAATCTGCTGCCTCCTGCATACCCCCAACCAGGAAACCTGGCCCAAAACCCAGGCAAGTGCCCCAACTGGGAATCAAAACAGTGACTTTTCAGTTTGCAGGCCGGTGCTCAACCCACTGAGCCCTGCCAGCCAAGGAAAAAAGGTTTTTTTTTAATTAACGTTGAACATAAAATATGATTCTGTAAATAAAAATATCTAGAAATTATATTTCCAATGTCATATATTTAAAGCTAGATAAGAGAATGCATGCAAAAAAGTGGGTACCACCAGGGGAGACCCGAGGAGACAGCTGGGACAGTAAGTCTGCTACAGACAGAAAGAAAAGCAGCCTAGAGAGCAGCAGGGAGAAGGTGCAAAAATGTAACTGAGGTTAAGGACAAAGATGAAATGAAGAGGGAAGAATAAGACAATAAATAGGAGGTATCCCAAGAGCTGGTGAAAGCAGGAAGCACTTGAGCAATTACAAATCAAGATTTTTTAATGAAGACCTGTTTACATATGTTTTTTGGTAAATTTTGTTTCTATTTTGAGCCCCTTTATCTAATAAAGTGTTTTTCCTAACGTTATACAAATGACTCAGTGATAAGCAGAATTGAATGAGGCAAGAAAACTGGCACAGTTCTGGACCCCGGACCTGGAAGCCTTCATGAGCTACCTGGTAACCAGTCATATATTACCAACTCCTCTCCCACCCTTTATGCTGAGGAAGTGGTACTTTGTTGGCAGGCTTTTGGGTTTTTTGTATTGTTTTGGTTTTAATTTAGGTAAAATTTACATAAAATATCTTCAGTGCTTAGGGGGGGTCAAGGAGTTTCCACAGGTGTATACACCAGTATGGCCACCACAAAAAGTACAACACGTAACATTTCCACCATTGCCTCAGAA